TTACATATTCTGGGTACCGGCTGTCTGTGTTGCTAAGCCCACACTAGCACATTTTCTCACATTTTCAAGTTCAGGTTTGCCAAGGTTAATTTAGAAACTGCACTACAGCCTTGCAGCCTCAGACAAAATGGCAAATTACAATAGAGAACACATAATGTTACTTAAACTTAAGCTTATTCACTGGTTTTCATAAAATAGAAGTTTATCATTTACATCATTGGGCAGAACACCTGCCAATCAAACTCTCTCCAAAGGGTCAATTCATTTATGGCTGGTGTACAATATTTAATATTAATGCAACTGTTTCAATTTATTGTGACTATATGAAAATCAAGGACAGAAGGGGGCCTGTCATACACCTGGTGCAATAAGGCGCAGATGTGTTTGGTGTGATTTGTTGCTATTTTTGTGCCACATAGTTTTAATAGCAAATCCATTTGCGCCACTTTGTGGACTCATTGGCATGGTGGACTATAAAGGAGGTGTGTTAAGGTGCATTGTTGGCGTGTTGCTATTATGAGGAACTAAAATAGACCTAGCTATTAAGCAACTGAAAGTTAGTCTAAAGTCAAGGTCAGAGCGTGTTAGCTATGTGCCTGTGTGGGTCTAAATTCATACACATTGCTTAACACACACAGGACATACACCAACACACAAATATCTTTACATATGAAAAAAAAACTAAAGGATTAAAATTTTACAAAAATTATTACTTTCTACAAAAACCGTTACCTCCATGCCTTCGCCACCTCGTGGTGCTTTTTTTCAACTTATTCATGACAATTTGAAGTTCTATAATGTTGTTGTTATTATTATTATTATTATTATTATTATTATCAGTATTAATTATTATATACATATTTATATTTGCTTTAATTAAAACAAGTTTACATTTGTCCACCTGTCAGGTTTTAGAGATGATTGCATCACCATATGGGATAAAAGAATAGGACGTGTGTTTGGATATAACTAAATTTTTTGACCACACTTCATTATCATTGTTCATTTAAATTAAATTAAAAATGTCGGCTAATGGATGTCTTCAGTGGAGTGAGTTTCCACCGTTTCCATAGTCCACAAAAGTAAAGGAGTATAGTTATCACATTGCCTTAACACATCTTCTTTCTAGTCCGGAACACTCATGAGTCCACATAGCGGCGCAAATTAATTTTCTATTTAAACAACGTAGTGCAAAAAAGGAAAATTAGGGTTGCGCTGGTCTAAAAATAGCAACAAAAAAAAAACGCCAAAAACGTCTTGTGCCTTATTGCACAAGTGTTTGATAGGGCCCTTAAACTATGCACCTAGATGATTAAAATACAGCCCAAAAGGAGTTTTAATTGCCTTTATTATAATTCAAAAGTAAATTAAAGATAAACCATGTGATTTAGGGAAAAAGCAGAACCAGCAGCTTTAATATCAATCTGACGCAAGACTGAAAACACAAGCAGAATAATTATGAACGCAAACAATGAGAGTGATGAAGGAAAGCAGATAGAGCAAATAAACCAGTAATCAGGTTGCAAGATGGTAGAGGTTAGGCAAGAGAACACATGGCGCAATGAAGCCAACAAAAGAGAATAGAGAACATTAGAGCTCTCGATGACTGTGTGTGCAAAAACACGAGAGTGTGAAAGTGTGACCAGAGAAAGAAACAAGCTGGTGGATGAACACAAGTAAATGAGAAAGCATGTGGCTGCATATAAACACTGGGTGTTACATTAATCACAACAACACAAAATGTGTAGAAAAAAACATGTGAGAGTAAGACAAAACATTCTGTGCCCTGGTATTGAACCAAAACTAGACACAAGTGCCAAGATCTATAAACCATGCTCTTGGCACAGAGGACATATTATGTGTTAAGCTTGCTGGAAACTGCTCACTCACAGCAAATACATTCACAAACTCACAAAATTCATGTTACAGATGTTTGACTGAATAAAGAATGTGCGTATTTGGCGTGCTGTCTGAAGAGAGGGCTCTGAGCTCGGAAAGATACTCGTATTATTCTCTTGTCAGGAGAGAGAGAGAGAGAACGGAGGTGAGGGGTATTAAAAGTGGTTTGGTCTTTTAATGATGTAAAAGTATGATTATCAATGATGAATTAGCCTTGTCAAAACATCTGCACATGCTCTTCACTTAATTTGTGTAGAAAACATCACTAAGAGTCCTAATCAAATTGCAATCAAATATAAGACAATAGGAATTAACTAAGAATAAAACAGTCCAAATTGACCAAATATGAATTTAAAGTTATATTATGTTGTATTTACAATAATATTTGAATGCACAAATAATTTATGTTTCATACAAACTGTCATGTATTCTTTTTTTATGTAACGAAGACCAGCTAGCGACATGCCCTGCACGTAAACCTCATTTTTCTGACCCCAAAAGGTCCTCTAGCAACAGACGCTAGAGGCTATGGTCTTTAGCCTCTTTGTTAGAGCAACTGACTCACATACAAAAAGTCGCTGGTTCGATCCCAACTCAGACCGTGTTCGGTGCAGTAGGACCGGTGGGTTACATTTAAATGACATTTTCTCATTTTTCTATTTAGATACACTATAATTAGCATATTATAAAGATTTCTGATTGATCATAAAAAATATTTCACTTTTAATTCTATATTACAAAAATACTTGTTTTTTTCATATATTACTAAAGCATTAGAATATGTTTGTTTTAAATATGTATTTAATAGGTATTATTGAAATCTTTCAACCGCCATTGTATGTATTTATGGGTAATGTTAGTTTAATTTTAAATAGTCCATCATCAAGGCTTGATTTGTTTTCTCTATATAAAAGGTCTGTAAAAAAAAAATTATATTATTTGGATAATTATTACCGTTTCAATGGTTACAGAGAAGATTTCAAGGAAAATGTTGGTTGGACCTTTAATGATCTAAAAACCACATAAAATCAACTAAATCCCTTACAAAAAGTTTTTTTTAAAGAATACTGCAGTTTTTTAAAGAGATACTGTAGTTTTAGGTAACTTCTGAAGAGTGCAGTTTTTGGACACGAACAAACTGCATTATTTAAGTACATTGCAGTTCTGCAATACAACTGAAGTACTACAATACAACCAACTGCAGTGCAACTACTGCAATTTAAGTGAATTACTACAACGAAACAACTGCAGTAAACTACTGCAATAGTACTGAAGTGACACTACTACTATAATGCAGTACAACTACTGCAATGGTACTGAAGTCCTACAACTACAATACAACTGAAGTACAACTACTACTTTTCCTGCTTGGTTGACAATGGTTTCCAAATGAGGTTTCAGTACTTCAGTTGTATTGCTGAAGTACTACCACAATATATTGTATTGCACTTTTCAGAAGTGTAACTAACAGAAATACATCAACAAAACAATTCGTAATAAGCTAAAGTGCACTTGTAAAACTTATTTACAGTGCAATAGATTATATAACACATCACTATATTGCCACTCTCAGTTTATTTAATGTTACTTCAATTGTACTGCAGATCTGACTGCTGTTGAACTTTAATGCATTATAGTTAAACTGTGTTTATACCTCATTATACTGTAATGTTGCAGTTGCATCGAATTTTGCCACAGGTATCCTTGTATATAGACTACTGCTGTTCTCAGTTCACAACAGTTATTTTTTATTATTAATTTTTGCAAATTAGCTAATTAGAAAATGACTTAAATCCAAAAAAAAAAAACCCCTTGGAACACAAGTGCAGTACAGTTCATACCATTAGCATATTAGACTACAGCAGCACAAGTGCAGTAAAGACTTGTTTTTACTCCGGTTTACAGACTGCTGTTGAACGTTTAATGTACTGTATTTGAAATGTATTTATACTTCATTGTATTGAAATTTTGCAATTGTACTTACTTTTACTGCAGTTATAGGTCTTTATACTGCTGTTGTACTTTAGTTGTACTGCAGTTTTACTTCAGTTCTTTTTTGTAAGGGGTGTAAGGGACTGCTTAAGAACAAACTCACTGCTGCATTAACAAAATGTTCGTACATCTCCTTGTTTAATCGTAATAACAAAAGCCGTTCTTTTCATGTTGAGTCATTCAAGGTTATTTATCCAACATTTATCTGACCTCACATGAACCTCAGAGAAATCTCCTCTGTCCAATCACAGATGGAGGGGAGGGGAAACGGAGATGCGATCCAGTGCTATCCACCAATAGCTGAGCATCACAATGAAGAAGATGACGATGACGACGACGATGAAGATGATCAGATACAGTACCTCAGCGGTGGAGGCAAACAGAAAACACACATGCAGAAAAATGATCACCAAACCAACAAAAAGCTCCACATTCAGCACACCACTGTCACGAAACCTGACCTCGGAAATCTCAGCCCAAGGTGTGCGCTTGACCACACATGCATGCATTTCAAAAAAACATTTAAAGGAGATTCTGGATTTTAATAGTCATTTGCTCACTGGTGCTTGAAGGTCTTTGGAGAAATGGTTAAGTGGATTTCTGTTTGTGTGTGTTCAGGGTCGTGGACGGCACGGAGGACAGTGATGGCACAGAAAACTCCCACACGTTCATATTTTCCTCTGCTCATCAGCACAGCGTCAGTGGTGCGACCAACACCACTGCCACCACAGCAGGTGTGTGAGCGAGTGTGTGTATGTGGCGGAGTGTGAGTTGTTAAGGTGCCTTTAGTTTGTGGCCAAAATTTTAAGGCTGACACACAATAAAATTTTCAGTATTTATTATTAGAAGTGTAATGGTACACAAAATCTATAACGCATCTTGTATTTTAAGTCACAGTTCAGTTTCATTACACTGTCTAAAAAATGTAAACTGATAGCTGTTTTATTTTTTATGATTAAAGGTGCAATAGTTGATTGTTTTTTATTATGCTGGTAAAAAGACTCCTTTTTTTTACAAATGACCAAATTTGTGAACATTGAAATTAATTTAGAAAAGCATAAAAGTGCACATGCACATCGAATAAATTAAGTGAAATTTTATCAAACCCGATGATTGCATTTTAAACCAGTTAGCACATGCACATGTCATGCTCACACCTCTCATAACACTGGTGTTGGCTTTTGATCACAAATAGCTAAAAGTTGTTCTTCTCAATATCTTCCTTATTTTTGGTAAAATAACAACAAAGAGGGGGATAGTACACTACTGTTCAAAAGTCTGGGGTCAGTTTTTTTATTATATTATTAATTTTATTTAATAATTTTAATAAAATTATCCTGGTCATCAAGGCGGCATTCATTAAATGTAAAGAAAATGTTAAATACTTGTTTTATTAAACATTTGTTTATTAAATATTGTATGTAGTTTCAAATGAAATATTACTTCAGCCATTATTGCTTTTATTACTAATACCATTAATAATAATATTAATATTAAGAACAATAATAATGATTAATATTACAGGGATTTCTGAATGATCATGTGACTCTGAGAACTGGAGTAATAAAGCTGAAAATTCATATTTTAATAAATTATAATCTACTTCTGGAGAAAGTCTTATTTGTTTCATTTCGGCTAAATTAAATGCAGTTTATAATTTTAAGTCAAATCATTAACCCCTTTAAGCTATATATTTTTCCGATAGTCTACAGAACAAACCATCTTTATACAATAACTTGCCTAATTACCCTAACCTGCCTAATTAACCTAGTTAAGCCTTTAAATATTACTTTTAAGCTGAATAGAAGTGTCTTGAAAAAATATCGAGTCAAACTGTCATCATGGCAAAGATTAAATAAATCAGTTATTAGAAATGACTTTTTAACTGTTATGTTTAGAATTGTGTTAAAAAATGCTCTCCGTCATACAGAAATTGGGAAAAAAATAAACAGGGGGGATAATAATTCTGACTTCAACTGTAGATAGTGCAGTATCCTAAATGTCCTAAAGATAGGTCAAAACCATAAGTGGCGATATGCCACTTCTAAATGATAGTAATTCAAAAACATACTGTATGTTGGGGGGCAGAGTTAAGTTTGAAACCTCTGACATAAAATCTTGTGCAAACTGGAGACACTGGGGTGTTTATCATTTGTGCTTATCACCAAAAAAATAAAAAATTCAAAGTGATTTTTCACTGGTGTTGAGCCAAGTGAATGTGCAAAATCACTCCCTTACATTAGATGATGCTTAATAAAAAAAGAAAATGTGAAAAGGTGGCTTGCGCAGATTTACACTTCTGATGCTTTTGTTGCACAGAAGAAGTCAGCCTCATGCTTTTTCTTGTGTAATTATCACATACGGTTTTCCGCCTCTGGTTAACCTTCTCCACTACAGCACAAACATTTGGTCAAAAGTTTGTGGGGTAGAAAATTAAGTAGAATTCACATTTAAATCCTATTTGATTGGTAAATCTGTATCTTCAAAAGATCAAGGCATGTGAACAAAAGTGCCAATTTCATTTGTTTGCCAGTTTTTGGTCAAGAGTGTCAAAAAATGAGCCTGATATGTATTTTAATTGACACTTTTATGCCTACTATTTTTTTTTGTGCACACTCACATTTGCAACCTTTGTTTAGTCACGAAGCAATAATCACGTGTGAGCCTTAAGACACATTTCAGGACTGTAATGTTTTCCCGGTAATGTTTTCAGGTCCTCATATCTGGGATCATGTTTTCGTTCACAGGGAAGGCACTCTAGCAATTTTATGTCAATTTTCTGGCATCAACACTTTTCTCTCTTTCCTTTTTTCACACAGTGTTTATTATGAGAAAATGAAAGTGTTTTTTTTTTTACTTTAGATAATGTGAACCTTTTGTAGGACACCTTCAAAACTAAATTAGTAGCCTTTGCTTTAAAGCAATTGGGGAATTTAAAGCAATATATCATCCACAATTCAAATTTGTTTGATTTTTCTGTGAAACACAAATGGCAATAATGTTTCTTCTGTCCTAAATGTCATTCTCATTCATGAATATTCATTGGTTCTTGCATGTCTTCCAACTGAGCCTGTAAAATGAAGGGCTACTGCATTTCATGATCATTCTTTGCAACAATTGTCTAAGAACTGTGCTCTTTACATAGACAAAGCTGTCATATCTTTAGTAGACTGTCTGTTATCCTAGCCTGAGATTTCAAACCAAGTCACTTTTATTTATATGGTGTTTTATAAAATGTCAAATGTGTCAAAGCTGCTTTACCTGGTAGAAAAGGAAAAGCCATAACAATACTTTAGTTTGTAGGACATATTCAGCATATCAGCCAGGTAGTGGCAGAATACTTAAAGCAATCTCATGGCAATTCATAACTTATTGATTTAGTGGCTAATTTGTATAAATTTGTACAATTTGCTCATCACCCAATGACAGTTGGGTTTAAACTAACAAAACTTAAAATACTTACGTTTTCTCGTGAGATCAGGCTGGAATACTAGTGTAGTTTAAATCAGTTTGGTTTAATATGATTGTCACCTGGCTCATTTCAAAACCTGTAATGTTTTCTCCTTTAGCTTGGTTCATTCAAGCATACTGTATGTGAATCATTCCCAAGATTACCCAAACAAGGTGGTCTCAGCCTGCTTTAAAAAACTAAGAAAAGCAATCTGCTTCACGGACCAATTTACCTCGGCTTTATCACAGAGTAATTACTGTGTGAAAAATAGATGAATCATGGGATAGTGAAAAGTAAAAGGGATAAGTGAAAAGGCTGACTCACTATGAATAAAATAACTGAAATTTGGTCAAAACAACTGTCTAAAATGCAAACAGGATTCTGCCACAAAATAAGTGTAAATGTATATAATGACAGCTGCATAAAAGCCAAATGCATGGCTTGAGGTAAATATTTAATTGAGTTATGTATTCTCTTGGAATTGAACTCGTGGATTTGTTTCTTTGTTTGCTTTATTTATAGAGCACATTTAAAAGCAACAGATGTTGACCAAAGTGCTTTACAAAAAGACCAGCATTCAAAATCTGTACCTATAAATAAAAATTAAGCAACATATATAAAACAGATTAAAATTAATTAATTACAATCAAAGACAAGAGACAGAAGGTGATCTTTTAGATGAGACTTAAAAGCACCAAGTGAAGAACAAGACCTGATATATAAAGGCAGACCATTCCACAGTCGGAGGGCTGCAGCAGAAAAAGCCCTGTTTTCTCTTGATTTCAACCGTGTTTTTGTGCATCTCACACATTCTCATCTGTTTGAGTTACAGGATTATTGTTAAATCCTTTTTGGACTTTGCCATATTGAATGACGGCCTGTTTTAATAAGAAGATTGCAGCTTAGACATTCTGCAAAATCATTACATTTCTGTTTCTTAGAAGAAAGAAAATCACACCAGTTTTTGATAGACATGAATGATGAGTTTTCATTTTTGTGGTGAACTCTTCCCTGAAGTCTTTGTAATGGGTTTTCCCTGGATGTTCTATCAGTGTGAGGCAGTTGGACATAATTGTTTTTTTTTTCTCTGTGCAGAATTAGCTGCTAAATCGGAGGACACCCGAGGACAGCTACGCCATCTTAACCAAGAGGTAAATTATTTTCTGCTCATTCTCTGCCAGTCATGTTATTTTGTTGTTTTTGCTGTGTAATTAAATGGTAGATCTTCACTTACAGTACAGTTTGTATGGGATATCTTTCCATGGACTGTGGATTGTATAGGGGATAACTCTGAGCTTAATACGAGTACCGACAGATCAATACCAGTGCAGCTCAGGTGAACTCATGGTGCCAGGTATGCACTAGCCATATGGCAGGCTTCTGGGAGAGAGGAAAAGGGGGATGTTATTCAAAGACTAGAGGACATAAAACTCATTAGAAGAGGAAAGTGGGGCTGGCCCCATGATGATGGAAGAGGACTTTCCAACATCCCAGATTTCCACAGTGCCCTTGAACCCTCACCACATGTAGTTTCCCAGGCATTGCACACATGCATGTTTCAACATAATTCATTAGCTCGTTGTAAATTATACTAATTGGCGCAAGAGACATTGCTTGAATTGGAAGGCTGACACTGAATATTTGGTATGAAAGTTGTGTCGTGCACAGGAGAATGTTAAAATGTCATTATCATACTTTTAATTTCTGCTTTGAAAATGACTTGGATATTATTTTAGATTGCTAGTTAGTACTGCTTGTTAGCTTGTTTGTCTGCTCATAAACACTGTGAGCAGCAAAACACTGATGCTTTGACTCTTGTGAGATTATCATGTGAGATATTAGAGGTCCAATTTTTACATTTACATTTGTTCATTTAGCAGAGACTTTTCCAAAGCCACCTTCAAATAAGAATAAAAGAAGCACTTGACCAGAGAGCAGCAATATATAGATCCCATCAAAGTCTAAGTTAGCTATTATTATTGAAGGAGTTCTTTTAACAGAGTTTTTCAGCAAGGTATCTGGTGCATAGGACAAGCAAAGAGTGTGTTTCCTAAAGTGGTTTGTCAAGCCCATTGACCTGTGTGAAGCACACACAAAATTGCACGTTATTCCAGGAGTGTTTATTAGAAAGTGTCTGGTGCATATGAAGAGGATGGAGTGTGTCTTCTACACTAAATATTAACAGTACACCAAAGATTAATACATGATAGTTTTGGTAGTGGTTACAGGTGTGTACCACCAAAACAATAACAAAATTTGAAGATATAAATATGAAATAAACATCCAAACTTTGCAGTTTATCACTTCTGCCTAAACATATCAACGTTTGTCTTTACATCTCCTCATACTTTAGTTTCTCATCAAATCTTGACCAATTAAATGCTCTCTACCCAGCAGGCACAGGACATCAACATGACATGATTTTCACGTTGTACCCCAACGTCATTGGGACATTGCATTTTGTTTGGAAATGAATATCGGGGTTGATGTCAGAACCCAACGTAAGGCCGACATCAGTGTTCAATGTCCAACCTAAAATAAACCGAATATCAATGTCTAATGATGTTACAACTTGATGTTGTGTGGACATTACCACTGACATCTATCATCTATTTTTTATTTATTTATTTATTTATTTTTTGCTGTACCTGACGAATAAATGTCAGTATTTGACATTAATATGATGTTGGTTTAAGATTTTGGTCACTTTCACAACCTAAAATCAACCAAATATCAACGTCATTTGAACATAATAATATTATGTTATAACATTGTCCTTAGATGCTAGCTAGACATGAAATTTTGGTCACCTGAAAAGACGACCTAAACCTACCCACTGTAATATTTACGTCTAATGCATTATTAACACTAGGCGCGAATGAAGCATCAAGCGCAAGTGATTTACATGTTAAGCCAATGTAAAGACACAAATAGACATCCCTCAGTGTGATTAGCATAAATTAGGTGCGTGAATGATGCAGGCAGTGCAAGTCGAATGTTTTGCACATTTTATACTCTGAATGCGCGAATCACTCAAGTTGGAAAATCTGAACTTCCTCTTGTCAACACCAGACAACAGTTCATCAAACTGGGCTCAGCTTATTCTGAAGCACTGCTGAAAACCTCCATCATCCAGGTATAGTTTCTGGAGGAGCTGATGAACTCACAGGGCTGGGTGCACCTCTAAAAGGATCCAATTGACTTAGACACGGGGTCATTCGAATATACGCTGTTTTTCAGCGTTCCTAAAGCACATAAAGCACAGCTACTATCTCAATAAAATCTATGTTAGCCATTTAGCAACAAAGCTAGAGTCACCAGGCAGACAGAAGGCCCACTCATGACGGATCCGCGTCTATTTTGAAGTGAATATGATGTGCAAATTTGATACGCGAGTAAACTCACAGCATTATGAATGTTGTGTGCCTGCTAGGAAGTATTTGACATGGCTTTTCACTTGGCAGTTCAGATGCAGTTAAGCTCAACCACTCTCACTGCAGTTTTTAAAAGTGAATGGAGCTTCTTTGTGTCTCACCCTGTTTTCATGTTTCAGTTGAGACAAATTTCAAATATTAAATGCACATTTTAAAGTATTTTTTGGGACCTTTCATAGCATCATAACACAGTCAGGGCCCTACCATACACCCGGCATAATGCGGTGCAACGCAATTCTTATTTGGTTGTTTTAGCTTTGCACAAGAGTCGTTTTGATGTTTTGCGCCACGCTGTTTAAATAGCAAATGCATTTGCGCTCATATGTGCCCTCAGAGACGTTCTGACCTAAAAAAGGAGGCGTGTTGATTTAGCATTGCTATTTTGAGAAACTATAATAGATTTTTCAATAGACCAGAACAAAGCCAGTCTAAAGTCCAGCGCAGTTGTGCGCCTCGCTTACACATTGATTAATACACACAGGATGTACAGCAATATGCAAATATATGCAAATGCAAAAGAATTAAAATATTAAGGAGATATATAAAGGATATAATAAGGATAAATATAGGATATAAATATAAAGAATTAAAATATTACAAATATTATTATTTTCTAGCCTACATAAATATAAAACCCACACTTTCATGCCTTCTTCATCCCGGGGGGCTTTTTCAGTTTATACATAACAATTTACATTTTTATAATTTTATTGTTATTAGCAGCATTATTTATTATATACATATTTATATTTGTTTTATTAAAAACAAGCCTAGATTTGTCCACCTGTCAGGTTTCAGACCATATGGGGCGCAGCATGTGTATTGGGATATAACTCAGTTTTTTAAGCACACTTTGTTATTATTGTTCATTTATTTATTGTTTATTTGCTGGTAATTAGAACTGAATTTAGAAATAGTTTTGAAACAAATCTTTTCCACTTACAAACTGACTCTTAAAGGGAATGGGAGAAGAGACTCTGATTGGTTTATTCTCAAAACACACCTATAACTAAAATAAGCTCAACCCTTTTAGACCATGCACCACAGCGCAAAGCAGATTTTTCCGTCCTTAAAATAGCAAAAGTGGATTCCGACATGCCCTTATTGCTTTCGCACCCTGAGCTTTGCGCATGGATTGTCAAAATAGAGCCCTCTGTGTGGAAAATTGTCTCTGATTTCTTCTCAGGTTTTTTCTAAGCTCATCAGGCATGATAAGAGCTGTTTTGTGGGCAAATGATGGTTGCAAAAAAAGTATTAAATTAAATTGTAGCAATAATAGTGGCCAGTGTGAAATGAAGAAAATCTATATATTCTTAATGAGATTTCTGCAGAGTAACAAACAATTCTAAAAAAGTAAATAATTTAATTTTTAATTTTTTTTTTTTTTTTTGCATCATTGGAGGAATTTGTCAGCCTCCTAATCATTCACAGTCCCTGCTATTCACTCACCTCATGGTTGTCATTTATAATAATGAATTGTTTAATATTAATTGAGAATCAGCATTAACATTAACTGAACATTAATGTTTAATAGAACTCCAGCAGAACTCGAAAATCGTACCGTCAGTCTGGCTCAGAGGCTTTGACGTACAATTGAAGTCGGAATTATTAGCCCTCTTGAATAATGAGCCTCTCTGTATATTTTCCCCAATTTCTGTTTAAGGGAAAAGAAGATTTTTTCAACACATGTATAAATATAATAGTTTTAATGACAAATTTCTAATAAATGGTATATTTTATCTTTATCTTTTGTGACAAGATATTTTTCAAGATACTAGTATTCAGCTTAAAGTGCCATTTAACGGGTTAATTAGGAAAGTCATTGTATAACAGTGCTTTGTTCTGTTGACAATCGAAAACATATTGCTTTAGAGGGCTTATAATATTTAAAGTATTTATATGTATTTATTTAAAACTACTTTTATTCTAGCCAAAATAAAACAAATAAGACTTTTTCCAGAAGAAAAAATATTATGTGAAATACTGAGAAAATTTCTTTGCTCTTGCTTCTGTTGCTCTATATTTGGGAAACAGGAGGGCTAATAATTGTATATTGTATTGTTTAATTTCAACTGTTATATATTCCAAATCAACCATTTAACTATAACTCCAGTTCTCACCGGATAACTGAGTCCCGATCGGACACCAACAGAAAAAAGTAGTTCCGCCAAATCCTCCAGTGGGTATGAATCCATGTGACAACCCACAGTCCTGATTGTCAGCCCATAGCTTTTGACATGAGGCTTGTGACAGCTAATGTCGTGAGCGGGACGCCCTGCTGCTGAGCCTCTTCCTCATTTTCCCCTCTCTATCTCTGTCTCTGTCTCTTGTGTCTCACTATATATTTTTGACAGCCGGTGTCTCAGCAGGATTTTGTTGTAATCCATGCTTGATTCGGGAGGATGAGGGCTCTCTTCCTGTTGTCCCTTCCTGTTAGAAGCTGTTGTCTTGTACCTCCCTGCCTCTGATGGCATTTATGGATCATTACCCAATTACGCTCATTATTGAGTATTATCACTTGTTGGCACGAATCTGAGGGCGGCGGCCAAATCGGTGTCCGTGCGAATCTGGATCATCTGTGCTGTGTTCTGGACCATCATGAACATTATTACTCTGAGATAATCAGAAGGGGATGGGGAAAGATAAACAGAAAGAGTCACCTTATTGCATCTTAATTGAATTTAGTGAGCTGTGGTTATTTCTTGATTACTGATGCA